AATGTAATATTATATAGAGTAATATTAATTAAAATTTACTAATATTTAAAATGTAACGACCTGCTTGGCCGCCACACACAGCTCAACACTCCCACAGCACAGAGAAAAGAACATACATATATCCAAATAAAGTATATACAATATGTTTAATCTAGGGTCTGAAGAAATCAGAGTATAAAATACAGCCCATAGTAGCCAAACTAGTGGCCAAAAACAACAAAACATCAAAAGAATAACTCTATCTTCCAGCTGCAAACCTGCCTATTGACACCAACCTAACCCTGCTCTGCTCTCATACAACGTATGATCATCACAGTACAAACCACATGAAAACAACAAAGGGTAAATTAGTGAAAAGAATCAACATATACACATATAATTTCAAAAATTATAATAAGCTTCAACTAATAGCATATCAGTCAGTTTAGCAACATCAGCATATAATATATCTCACAGCATACATCTCACATCATTCAGCAATAACAACAGTAAACACACAATGCGTCGTCACGCATATCAGCTTGGAGACCTCCTACACCAACTCAGTCTTACGGCCTACAACAACTCAGCCCTACGGCCAACTACAGCTCAGCTCAGCATATAACAACATCTATCAGCATTGTTCAATACATACCAGCATAACATCAATTATCATCTCCGCGCCCAGCGCGCTCATAATTGCGCCCGGCGTGGCCCAACCAGAGAGTACCAGGGTTCAAACGCGCCCGGCGCAAATTGCGCTCGGCGTGCTAGGAGGCAGAGACCCCAAAAGGTCTCACACGCCCGGCGTGCCCATCCCGCGCTCGGCACAAGGTAAGAAGAGACCTCCCCAAGGTCTCACGCTCGGCACAATACTAATTGTGCCTGGCGCCATAACTAGTAGAGACTCCCAAGGAGTCTCCACGCCAGGCGAGACAAGGTCACGCCCGACGCAGCACCAGAAATCCACAAGCAATGTCACTTACTGATATCACGTCCAGCGCGGTCCAACCACGCCCGGCGTGGATCATCCAGAGGCTCACATTTTCAAGCTAGCCCGGCGCACACACCCCTGCGCCCGACGAGTTTGCTCAAATGGAGCCTTCTGGGGGTCACGCGCCCGACGCCAAGAACTGCGCCCGGCGTGATACTCAACAGTAACCCTCGAACTTCAAAAAAATTCTTAAAAATCTGCATAAACAACCCAAAAATCCACATGCAATCGGCCCAAAACATCACATTTTCACCAAATAGCTCAAAAATATCATCTTTTACAACATGCAACCACAAATCGTTAAAAACCCCAATTTTTACCCAACCCCGAAAACTCCAAAAATGAGTTTTTTTCAATCTCAGCCAAAATCATCCAATCATCAAACCATCCATGAGTTACTAAACTCATTTTCACACAACCGGCATGAATCCTAGCTTCCCTTACCTCGATGTGAAGAAATTCTGAGTTTCGGGCAAGCGGAGAAGAAGAAGAAGAACGATCGGAGACCAACAGAGAAGAGAAAGGAAAAAGAATTCGTCTTCCGGCTAGCTCCACACGGCTTGCGTTTGAGAAATTGAATCTCTAAAGGTCCACAGCTTCAGCTATAGAGAAAATTAAAGAAGTTTGAGAGGGTAAGGGTCAAGGGAGAAAGCAAGGTGAGGGAGATGAGAAAATAAAAGAAAGGCAATGGGTCTCACATAAAACCAATCATAAAACTTTGTTTTGTTCTTAAAAAAATATATGACTTTATATATATATAT